GCCAGGAAAATCCACACTCTAAAGTTACAATTTGCCTCATTCTCATCAGTTTTCTACCTCAGCAATTACCACGTGTAAGAGAGCTCCAAGAATTCACCTTTCCCCAGGTAAGGGCAGAGCCACAGTATGTATAAGATGGACAGGGCTTAACATGGCCCTTTGTGAATGCCCTCCCTGCAAAGGAAAACTGACCACCTGCTGGGGACCCTTATGGAAGAGCATGCCCAGCTCCAGCCCCCAGCAATGGATGCTATGCCAGATTCTGTGTTCAGGGACTAAAGGTAAAAGTTATGTAGGAAGAGCCAAAGGGTCAGCACTCAGGAGGACTCACAGAGCATTTCTGGAGTGAGAGAATGAAAGAAGATCTGTGCCTGAGCACGTGTATCAGCTGTGTTGCTTTGATGTGGCACTGGTTGACAAGAGAAAGGTGGGTGACCCCAAATTACTTAGGCAACATTGCCTGCCAGGGCTAAAAGTCAGAGATCATCATTCCAGTGAGGTCAAAGCACTGAGCTGCTGTGGTCTCTGCTTGTGAGCATGCAATGGGTGGGTGGCTAAAATAGGCTCTATTTCATGAATGCAGTTGGCCAGGATAACAAGAGCTCAGGACTCTGTCTGCCCTGATAGAGTACCACAGCACACTCTCCCAACATTGGACTGAGTCACCCTTCTGTCCAGTATCTATGGCTTTACAGCTCGTTCTCCATTTCGGAGGGTGTAAAGAAATGCAGACCTTGGAGCTATGTGAGTGGCCACTTTCCACCTCTCTCCTGGCAGCACTGGGATGAAGTGCCAAGGTGCTGCGAATGTTCTGCCTGAGTGAAGAAACCTTTCCCGGGAGCAGCCTGATGAGCTCAGCACGGCGCTGCTCGGCCAGATGGCTCCTGGACCAGAGCTGACTCATGCCCACAGAGCCAGGCAGCAGAACGGGCAGATAGCTGCAGCACGCTGTGGGAGACACCTCACCCTGGCTGGCCCTGCCCTCACAGTGGGGCAGCTCCAGCAGTAAATCCAGGTGTTCTGCCCACTGCTATCATTCTAATGCTGCAAAACTGAAACGGTGACAGGCCTGGGTTCCACTGACAAACAAAGAACCAGGCTGGTGAACTTTTCTGAGCCCTGAAAGGGTGCAGACATTGAGGGAGCAGAACTCTTCACTCTCACAGTGGCAAAGGATGGTGAGCACAAGCTGTGGATAAGCTGATGGCACAAAAGGGAAGGGTGATAGCTTCTAAAAGTGCAGCAGAGGCCTCAGAGAGAACAAGAGACTTGGGTATCTGCTGTCCACTAAAACAGTGTTTATAAACCTCCCCAGCCGTTTTCCAGCTTGGCTTCTTAGTGAATTACAGTTTAGGAAAGCTGGGAAACATGAACTACATCCAATCCATGCTGCAGACCACCATTTTCAGAAAACTGAATAAAGGTAAAAAACAAAGGTGAAAAGGAAGAAAGGTGAAGTGTAGCCAAAATCCTCTTAAATTGTCCAAATCAGACATGGGAGGGAGACTGCACTGGCAAAGCTGTGAACTGGCAGCATTAGTGGGTGATGAACAAGGCCATGTTATCTAATATGGCAGAATACACATCATGCATTTTTAATAGCATTGTTTCACTTCTGGTTATCATAGTGTCACAGCTCGAGGCTGTTTCAAAAGGCATGGGGAATACAGAAAGATTATGATTGGATGGTAGGGCTTTTGCCTGGAGGTCACACACACAGAGAAACATACAAAGCATCAGTAGTATAAGACTTCCATGTATTCCCTGTTTTCAGAGTCCACATGAAAAACAAGTCAGCTGCAGCAGTGTTTACTGAGAGTTAATCAGGTTTGCAGATTAATCATAAGATCCTGAATTACAGGTGCTTATATACAAACATGAGGAACATGCAATGCACGTAGCTGAGACATGAAAAATGGACTCTGTGATGGCAGCAGCAGAAGAAATGGGTAACAGCTAAGGAGGAAAGGGAAGGCATATACAGTGATGATGGACTGAGCTCTCTCATCTCTTCAGAGCAGGTATTTAAGTTCTGATCAATTCTCCCTGTAATGGCAAATGCTGATCCGTGAAAGAATTGTTGGCAATTATTTTTTGCATTGCAGCAATATCTCCAAAATCTACTCAGAAATGAGCATCTGCTTTACTCTCAGACACACAAAATGTCTCCATATGCTTGGATGACTACAGAACCCTCAAACAAGAGCTGCAGATTTTCTTCATTATTTTCTTGTCCTGGAAAGAAGTGCAAGCAAGATCACAAAGAGAGACTGGTATAAAACAGAAAATTCTTGTTCAGGTAACAAGTTTCAAGACCTGTACTTCGGTCTAGCTTAACACTCCACATGTGTACTCAGCTTTATGTATCTCTCTGCAGACTGGACTGGGGCTGCTCTCCATGAACCTGTAGGGAATTTGGGATGTTGCATAGGGGCTGTGACTATCTGGCAGATTTCTACTCTGGAGCCCACCTTAATGCCTCAGGTTTTAGCTTTTATATTTTTCAGATTCTGTACTGCTTTACTGTGTAGTTCTGAGCTTCATATTAGGGGATGGTGAGCTCTCTTTGCAGAATAGGGAGACAAAACAATTCCTTCTCTAGCTGGGGACCAAGGACAAATGATCCAAATCTCAGGCCTAAATCTCAACAGCATAAACAACAAGTGCACTGAAGAGAGAAAAACAAGAAGGGTGGGACTTCATAAGCTAAAGATATAATTGGATGATTAATTCTAATATGGAAATGACCAGAACTTATAAAAGTGTGAGACTCCATGACTGGTCATCCATTTTGTGACCATGTTGGGATCATCTTGGTTGGGCTCTTGTACTGCCCAAGCCGTATCCATTGAGGCCTTCTAATAAACACCCACTTTATTCTTTAACTCTCTCTAGTCCCTGTTCTAGGTCAGCCTTCACAAGGCATCAACCTCTTTGCCCATTTCCTACACAATGCACTACAACACCCAACAGGCTGAGCTCAGCCCTCACTGCCCCCGCTGACTGGAATGGGGCAAAACCCTCTGGGAATGCAAATGGGAAAATGAGAGGAGCTCTTCTCCCCTGCTGTCTGGGCAGCAGGTATGCCTTTCTCCATCACAGGAATGAAACAGTGAACTTCTGAAGTAGAACAAAGCCCTTTCAGGAAAAAAACATGTACCCAGAGCTGCAGCATGAGCTGTGACAGACACACTGGGGTTCAGCTGGGTCTGTTGGAGGGGAAGGTGCAGGTGTCAGGCTCACACCATAAAACAAAAGCCAGGTAAACATGATGCCTGAGTCCTAGAAGAACTCATGGAAGGAAGAAACTGTACCAATGTTTTCAGGAAGATTTTTATTTCCCGTCTCCCTCTGTGCTAGTGCTCACACACTATGAGACCACCCCCATGTACAAAAGCACTTAACCAGCCAGGACCTCTGAGGAAAAGGGCTGCTCTGTTAGCAGTAATTCCATTTGAATTGTTAATTATTTTTGTCTTTCAAACCAGCATATACATTGGCTAATCAAAACTCTTCTGATAACTATTTATGTCTTTGCTTGCCCCTGGTGCTCACAGTCATGTTCTTTCCTTGGAAGTGGCTTTACCAAACTCACTGTGGGTTATGTCAAAGGCAGGCTGAGTTTTTTGCATAAGATTAGTAGCAGATACATATTTGCAGAAAGAAGTCATATGACCTTTCTTCTAACACTGGAAGGATATGTAGAACTTCTTGTCAGTGTGAACACAGGATGATTCTAATTTCCTAAGAGACCTCTAAAGATAGGTCTTACATCAGAATCCTGTTTAACTAAATAAACATAAGACCAAGAAAATATTAGGCAAATCAGGCTTCATTTCTCACTGTAAATTAGATGGCAAGAGAACAGCCATTACAGCTCTCTTTAAAGCCATTTAATCACGTGGATCATGATGCATAAACAACAGAAAACCCATTTTCTGTCCTTTTTCAAATGCAGTAATGGGGACTAAAAATACCAATCAGGACTAATAAAATGACACATAGTAAATGTACCTCAGTGTATGAACATTAATACATACTATAAAAAGCCAAAAATTATCATTATCTCGCTGCTAGAAACGCAAAGGCCTCAACGGGGATTAGCAAAGGGATTTGCTTTACACTAACACTCGGCCAGAAACAAAGCTGAAGTCGGTGCCACACCTCCACAGTCCTAAGGTCACCTCTTATCTGTTCAATCCCACAGCAACGCTCCCTTGCAGCTATTTTAACCTGAACCCGCTTCACTCGCGATTTGTTGTGGAGACGGTGGGTCTGCTCGGGAGAGCGCGGTCTGAGGGGAGAGAGGGCATGTGAGAACTCCCAGCGCCCACTCGGGGGTTCCAGGGACAGCTCCGGCCCAGGAACCTCCTGCGCCAAACCCGAAGAGCCCCAGCAGTGCCTGAGGGAGCCGCTCCGCCCGGGCTGCCACACGGCGGCCCTCGAACGCGCGGGAGAGCCCTCAAGGCCCTCCCCGGCCAGGCCCGCGCAGGCCCCGCCGTGCCCGGCCCCCGCCGCGGCGGGAGGCGGAGCCGAGCCCTGCTGACACCGGCGGCGGGCGGTGCTGCAGTGCGCGGAGCCGCCGATCGCTGCCGGAGCCCCGCGGCTGCAGCTCGCCGTGAGCGGGGGTGCCGGGGCAACGGGGAGGAGTGGGGGCGCCGGGACGGGCGTGGGGGGGGAGGGACAAGGCCGCCGCCATGTTCTAAAACCGGGGAGCGGAACGGGCGGGGGCGGGACTCGAGCTGGAGCCGAGGCCGGCAGCAGAGACTCGAACGTGGGTCCCTGGGGACTCGAACCCGGATCCCCCGGCGGGCGCGGGGGACACAGGGGGTCGCGGGACCCCCGGGGCGGTCGCGCGCTCCCCCCTCCATTATCCTCTTCCCCCCCCCCCCCACCGCGCGCGCGGGGGGCCGGACGTGACTGGCTGCGTTCAATTTGTCACGCAGCCATTGGCTGGCGGGGGCGGGCGGCGCGTGACGTCAGCGCGCGGCGCTGCGCGGCCGGCGGCCATTTATAGGCGCGGAACGGGCACTGCGCAGACGGAGCGAGCGGGCGGTACCGGGAATACCGGCGGCTGTATCGCGGCCCATCCCCGCGGGCGCACCGAGAAACCCCCCGCGGAGCCCCGATCCACCTTTTCCGAGCGCCCCTTCAGCCGCCGCTGAGCTTTTGTTTCTGTTCGCGCAGCGCCTGAGCGCCCCCGCCCAGCTTTGTTCTTCTTGCGGCCCTTGCGGGGAAGGCGCGGCCAAGATGGACCCTTGTCACACCGAGGAGACCGAGGGCGAGATCCCCGGCTTGGGTAAGGCCCAGCGACGGCGGGCGGGCAGGGGGTGGCGGGAGGGAACGGGGGGATGGGGGAAAGGGCGATCGGGCCCTCGTGGTGCCGCCAGGCCGGGCCCGGTGCCGCGGAGGCCTCACGATGGCGCTGGGGGAGGGAAGAAAGGAGGGAGGGAGGGAGGGGGGGGCGGCGGGGACGGGCCCGGCCGCGTGCGCCGCTCAACCCCCCCGGCCGCGTGCGTCGTGTCGGGCGGGGCCGCGGGGGCTCTCCGGGGTCGCTGTCCCGCCTCCAGCGCCGCTGCCGCGCCCCCGGCTCCCTCCCCGTGCTGGGGGGGTGGGCGTGAGATCGCCAACGAGATAAGCGCAAATTACAGTTTGTTACAGGTCTAACGTCCAGCCTTAAGTAGCGTAAATCCGGTGGAAACGGCCACTCAGTAAAGCAGAAGTTGAAAGTAAAGGTTTCTGGACGCCATAACAGTCTCGTCTTAAAATGGTGAACCCGTGCCAGTTATTGCAAAACAGCCCTGCTCAGCGCCTGCTATCTGTTTACTGGGTGTCGGCCTCTCGCTGAGCTCCCCCGTGGGGACAGTCACTTGAGAGGCAATATCACTTTAAAATCTTTATTAAACAGAAGAGAATATACAAGAAAAAAATCAATATCAAAACACCCCATATTTGTTCTTTTCAGCTATACAAAAAGGTTTAGCAAAACACACTGCTCAGACAAGGATAAAAATAAACCCCAAATCATGTTATTACATTTCAGGCTTGTTTTAAAATCAGCTATACAGGCAATGCATTTGTTTTAAGTAAATTTTTAAACACAGATTGAGTGAACTTCATGGACTTGTTATTGGAATTAATTTTCATCTTCTAAAGAAGTCAGAAATGACTTGACCTATAAAAAAAAAAGCATATGTATTATTTGCGGCATTAAAAGTACCAGGCTTTTCCCTTTATTTGGGAAGAAATTGTCTGTTACTACGGTTTTCCAGTGATGTTTTGCCCCCGTATTTAATTAACGAACTGAAATGCATGTGGCCTTTCAGAGGGGCAAGGTAGATGGCAAGTCTGAGTGTCTGCTTAAAATTAAGCTATTAATTGCTGGTTTCCATGAGGATGTAATGACAAATACCTCCACAATTCATCATTGGGCTCCTCAATTTATTTAGAGCTGTTAAATTAAGGGGAATTAGTCTTGTCTTAAAGGAGTCATTCTTCAGTAATCTTAAACTGATGACCCAGAACAAGATGAAGAAAATGGTTTATAGAGTTTCCTAGGAGAGCACTTCCTCATGCTTGTAAGTATTAGGTGGAGTTTTTTTTTTCCTGTGAACTGGCCAAACAACTCCACCAGAATTTCTTTTTGCATTTACTTCCCAAGTCTTGCTTTTCTTAGGAATTGGTAAACACCATTTTGGCTCTCTGTTCCCTCCTTGTCTCCTCAAATGGTTGTTCACTCTCCCTTCCCACTGTTTAGTGTCACTGCATGCATGATGACTGCGGAAGAGCAGATACAAACCCCCTAATACTTCATACTTACTTTATCAATCAGGTACTCTTGTTTAATCTTATCGTTCTTAAAATCTTCATTAACATCCAAAACTAGAATAGGAATCTCCTTAATGTTCTCAAAATCAACTCTGTTAAATGGAAGAAAGTAGTTTGAGTAAAATTACACAAAATACTGTGCATTCAAGACCCTTATTCTTGATTACCACATGCACCTGAAATGTTAAAGCTGGTGCTCCTAACTTAAATATAAAGCCTATGCCAACTTTGTCCTTAATTGCTCTTAATAGATTTCACAAATCTAGACTCTTAGTAATGTACAAGTTGGGGGGGGGATATTTTTTACCTTAGTTTTCTTTATCTCATTCTTGTAATGGAACCAATGACCAGGAACTGGTCATACAATTTTGTAATTGTAAGATGATGTATTTTTTTCAAAATCTCCCTTGCCCTGTGTCTCCCCCATTTAATCCACTTATGAAGATGCAATTTTAAAGCTTCCTTTCATGAGGGCGACCTCTTTAACAGGTTATAAGACTGGTATTTATAACGTCTTGGACATAAGCAAAACCATTTTGGCTTCAGTTTAGGAACAGATGGGAGCACTAGTTAGTCTTTGTGAGTGTGGAAGGCATTTCTAAAACGCAGTACGTGTGCTGAACAACATTCTAACTTGTGCTTGCACACTTCAGTTCCTATTCCAGACACAGGAAGTGCTTCCTTACTGAGTTTGGAGTGAGTACACAACGTAAACATTCCCAAAATTGCACAGTGTGCACTGCCTTCTGTCTCCTAAGCATTTGGGTCATCCTATGTGAAACTTCAGCAAGTAGATCAAACTGATAATGTACTTCTCCTGGAATTGTAGTGCTTCCCCTTCAGTAGAATATTTTGGACTCCTCTAGGGGAAAATGTAGGGTCTGTTTTCATGTTCAGATTCTTTAGATGGGAAAGCCAGTAAGAGTCAATAAGGAGCTTAAGAGAAGGTGTACAGAGATCACTCAGTTGCTAATTAGGCTTCTTGTGTGTAACAGCTCTGCCAAAAGCCTTTCTGATTATTGTTTAAATTTAAGTTAGGATTAATACTTTGTTGAAATGCAGTCCTGCTAGTTTAATGGTATTTGGGGCCTTGTTTGCCTCTTACATTGCAATAGAAACTGCATGGTGAGAAACGTATGTGGTTGGCCCCATACCACCATTTTAAGTGTCTTATCCCTGAGTCCTTCCAATTAGCAAAATCCATATCCTTGCCAGAGTTACAAAAAAGCTTTCTAGTTGAAGCTAATGCTTAACAAAGATTTCAAATTAGATTGAGTTTCATCCCTTGAAACCTGAAGTGTGAATAAATATGAGCATATCCAAATGCCTGAGTGAAACTAGACTTGCAGTAAACTCAATAAAACTAAAGCTTTAATGTAGGAAAGAACCTTGCCTGCAAGTTGAAACTTGCTACAGAAAATGGGTTCCTACCTCATAGTCCTTTCATGAAGCCAGGTTTCATGTTTATAGTGGAGGTTTTCCAAATACTCAAGCTCGATTCCTTGCTCCTCTTTTCTGCCCCTCATCTGTAGCCTTTCCATGCATTTCTGGGGAAAAAAAAATATAAACCTGGTCATTAATCGTGTGTTGTAGGTTAAATCAGCTAAACGGATCAAGTGGCCCTTGATTTGGAAGGACTAATGCTAGACATTAGTGAGCATTAATTTTAAATGGTTGGCTGAACATAAACGAGTTAAATCTAGAATAACTTTTTTGTACCCTCTTGAACCTGTGGAAGATGAAACTGGAACTGAAAAACCTCCATTTTAGTGAGCATACCTGAGGTGTGGTTCTGAGATAGATCATGCCATCCAGTTCTATATCTGATTGAAACTGATTCAAAAGCCATGTGTGCCAGTCCTGATAAATAGACCACTCTGTTTCATTAATACTTCCAGACTCGAACAGGTTAGAAGCAAACACGTATCTGAAATGAAAGACATCAGTCTTACGCCAGGAATGACAAAAGTCAAGTACTAAAACACTTACCAACACAACAGAATGATGGCATTGAAAAAAATGCCTTAATAAAGCCTGCTCCCTTGCAGGTATTACTTTAAATATCAAGTGTTTCCTCAGCTCCATGTCTTTAAAGACCTGGAAGTTGTTATTGTGAGTTCTTGCCATGGTGTAATTACCTGTCACTGTACACAGATCTTTCAAAAAATTGCACTGGATGTTCTGCTTCGTACAGCTTGGCTGAGAGAGGTTTTAATTGGGCTTTTACTCGGCTCAAGCAGGCATAAGTCTGAAATGTGTAAGCCCATCTTGAGGGTTTGTCATACAGCATTTGAAGTAAGTTTCCTCCACTCTTCTGAGATGTTGAAAGTTCCTAAAAGGCAAGAGGAAAAAGTTAATGTGAACATACTGCTTTTCTCAATCCAGAATTCTGATATGTTTAAGTAAGAATTCATGGCTTTCTTTTTATTACTAAGAAAATGCTTAGGCATAGGACCTAAGAGACTCTTTTTCCTCAGGTGATGGTGGTTTTCATGACAGCTTCTTTGAACAGTTTAAATTCCAGATTTTAGTGTGATTCCCGTGGTGTAGGGGATGTGATTTGGAATATACGTTCAGTAGTATCTTGCCTTTACAATTTGAGTGCCTGACCAACTGTGGTACGATAGTGGGGATGACTCTGGCTGCTGCAGACTAAGTATAGCTAGGTTTTGGCATAACTCCCTGGCTGAGGAGCTCCCTGCAGTTTCTTGCGGCCCAAATCCAGCGCACCTACCTTATACTCATCCTCGGCTGTCTGGATGTTGCACCACTTAGCGATGGGCTCGGGGATGATCTCCCACTCATCGCTGTGTTTCTCCAGCAGCCTGACAAACGTTGACTTCCCCGCAGCTGCGGAAGATAAGAGCAGTTCACAAAGGGCTGGGGTTTGATAGCTCTGGTGCTGCTGACGGACAGGGGCAGTTTGAGGGTTGTTAGTGCCTGTTGGGGCGCGGGGCCGGCCGGGTCCGCCGCGGAGCAAACTGCGCTAATCTTTCTCGCCAGAGGGGCCGCGCCCGGCCGGGCGGGTGATAAGGGCGGCCGAGGAGCAGCCGACATTTTAGAGCTGCCGTGGCGGGCGGAGCTTAGCGGGGAGAGCGAGGGAGCGGCCGCGCAGGCGCTGGGACTTGGCGCGGGCGGGAGCGAACGAGCGCTACAGCCCCGGCCGGGCCAGGGGGGACACCGGGGCTTTGTGCTCCCGAGCCCGCCCTGCGCCTCGGTGTCACTGACGGGCACCCTGCTCGGGGAGCTCCCCATCCGCCCCAGCCTGGCTCCGGCTTCCTGTCCCGGTGCGACTCTCCCCGCAGAGTACAGCGGGGGTACAAGCGCCGCTGCCGCCCCTCCCTCTCTTTGTCTCCCCCGGCATCCCAGGCCCTTGGGGTGCTCCCGGCCTGACACCCCCCCACCTTCCCCCGGACTCCCCTCCCACCCTGAGCCGCACCCCGCACCCTCTCCGCCGAGCTCACCGATATTCCCCTCGATGGAAATCTTCCTGAGGCGCTTCTGGAAGCTGGATTCGAGGGAGCCGGCGGGGCTCTGGCAGTGCCGCTTGGCGGGGGTAGACATGGCGGTGCCGAGCGGGAACTCAAGGGGTTCCCGGCTGCTCCAGCGCACTTTAAGCGTCCCGCCAGGCGGGTGGGCGGGATGGCCGCTTCCCGCCAGTCCTCCCCGGGAAGAGGCGGAGGCGCTGCCCCCTCCCCCGCCGCCCCTGCCCAGCTCCCGCCGCCGCGGTGTTACAAAATGGGCGTTCGGCGAGTGAAATGGAGAAGAGACCTTTGAGCAGGAAGTGGCTGTAGCACGGTTCCACTTACTGATCTAATTTGCATTTCTGTAAACCACTTCGCCATGTTGTTTGATTTACTTACGTAAACTTGAGCATGCACTTAAAAAAAATCTAAAAGCCTCCAGCTGTGGGGGTGGGGTGAATGTTAGTAGTCCGGAACATGTAATGAGAGATGAGGCAATGTAGGTTCACAGTCTGTTTTGGTACTGACTGGAGAAGAAACGCTCGTGGATGAATGGTGTTCATCCGGAGACTACTCAGAGCAGCTTCTGGGCTCCAAATACCAATGGCGGGGGTCCAGGAGCCTGCTTAACTCTAGGCAGGGGTCCTCTATCAGCTGTGCAGACAAGTTGGAACATGAGCTGGTTATCCAAGGGGAAAGGGGATGAAGGATTCTTAGATGAGTTATTCCAATTTCCTCCTTCCTCCTCGGTAATACAAGGTGAAATCTAGCTAGGTCTGGTGTGTTTGGAGGAAATGGGAGGGAATTAACTTTTCCGTTCTTTTATGATAATTGTGACCCATTGTCTCTTCTTTCCCCATCTCCTCCAAACACACCAGGCTTCAGTGACCGAAGCGAGCAGATTGTTTCACGTGGGGTAGCGTCAGCCTTTGAAGCTGGTAAGTGCCAGTTCGCGCACCGGTGTGCGCAGCCAGAGCGCTCCGCTGTCCGCGCCACGCGGGGGCCGGGGCCGGGGCGGGGGCGGCAGCGCGCGGGGCACGCGCAGTGCGGCGAGCAGCGCCCAGGGCGCGCGGGGCCGGGGCTTTGTTCGGCGCGGCGGGCGGGCGGCGCGTGCGCACAGGCGGCGCGCGTGTCCCGGGGGTGGGGCCGGGCCCACCGGGGCACATGCGCCCCGCACCCACCCCGGCCACGCCGCGGCCGGTCCCGTGCTCGGCGGAGGCTCGCGGTGCTCGGTGCCCTCTGGTCACACGGCCCTCCCTGCGAACCGGGCACGGGCGCTGCGCCATCGCCGGGGGCCGCGGGCCTGCCAGGGCGGCGTCTGGGACCGCGCTCTTTGTGCGGAGGAAGGCCCGGCCCAGCGGAAGCGGGAGCACCCGCCGCCATTTCCTAGCGCGCTCTCGCTGCAGGCTCGCCCGCTCGCTGCCGCCTGACCGGGACTAGGCGCTCTCCGGACAGTGGATCAGGCTCGGAGCCCTAGAACCAGCGCGGAGCCCCACCATGTGTGCGTGCGGGGAAGGGGCAGGGCGGGGGCGGGAGCGGCGCCGTGTGTGTGAGGCGGCAGCGGCCGAGGCAGAGGAGGATCAGGGAGGGCCGGGACACAGGCCAGGGGGGCCGCCGGGCGCTCTGAGGGGGTGCGGGTGGCGGCCGTGCTGAGCAGCATCTCAAAGGGCCCGTTCTGGTCTTTCCAGCCACCACAGAAGCAGAAACAGAGCAGAGCCTCACCCCCAATGTGATGCTTAACACAGAGAGCAGCGAGGGATACGTGGTGAAGGTCCGGGGACTGCCTTGGTCTTGCTCCACCGAGGAGGTGCAGAGATTCTTCTCCGGTAAGTGGGGCTGTGGAGGAATAAGAGCTGTGGGAGAGGGGTCGGGCTCTGCTGTCAATTCTGGGTCACTCCCAGAGACACTGTGGTAATGCTGTAGTGAGCGCTTGCAGGAGGCGTTCAGTAGCCAGTGCAGTTTGTAGTGCAACAAGTGCTTCAGCCAGAACCTGGGGTGCAAAGCCATGTTAATGCTAGCAGGAACTCACTACTAAGGGGCTTAGTTTGAGTTGCTGGGATAGCCACAACTGCCTTTGCTGCTTGAGTAACCAGGAGAGAGAAGGTTCAGTTTTAAAGAAAGTTCAACCTGAAGTAAGAATTATAAAGCTAAATCCCAATAGACTCATGTAATTGGGACAATACGAGTGTTCAGTGTGTGTATGCTTCCCCAGATTAATAGCATTCTGCAGTAATAAATAGTAGTGATAAATACATGCTTTCTGCAGTGACTGGACCTTTTAAAACTGCTTCTGGAATTTGATGTATTTGATTTTGTTCTGATTTAGTTTATTACACTTAGACTGATTTTACTGTTCCTTATTTCAGGCTAATAAGAGAGTTAAGATCAAAAGCAGATAGTGTGTTCACCTTGAGACAGAAGAGCTTTGGAAAGAGCTAATTTGCAATTATCCTTTATCTGCAGGTTTGACTAGAATGGGAACTTTAGTTAGTGCCTTATTTAACTGGTCATTTTAAAGTTGCATTGCACCAGAAATGGTGCTGGCTTTGTTGTTATGATATAATTGATACTCAATACATTTTTGGTTTTAGGCTCTCTGAAACTTTCAAAGTAACACTGTTCCTGTAATAATTAAAGTAATTCTGACCTTTCTGTTTGATTTTCAGATTGCAAAATTCTGAACGGGGCTCTGGGTATCCGTTTCATCTACACCAGGGAGGGCAGACCAAGTGGAGAAGCATTTGCTGAACTTGAGTCAGAGGAGGATGTGAAATTGGCCCTGAAAAAAGACAGAGAAACAATGGGACACAGATACGTTGAAGGTTTGACTCAGTTGGTCTAGTAACTGGCTACACTGTGTTTGTGCTTGATGGGTTTTTAGTTAATTGCATTTTTTGTCTCTCTAAAATGCATGTGAAAGGACTTGCATATCATAAGTTGACTAGTTTCAAGGCAAATAACTTTAAAAACTTCACCTTACTCCAGAATGCATTAATTCTAAGTGCCTTTTACAGTTTTCAAGTCAAACAACGTTGAAATGGATTGGGTTCTGAAGCATACTGGTCCCAACAGCCCTGATACAGCTAATGATGGTTTTGTACGTCTTAGAGGACTCCCATTTGGCTGTAGTAAAGAAGAAATTGTACAGTTTTTTTCAGGTATGTGGGATAAAAGTAGTAGTTATAGCACTATTGGTTTATGCTAAAAGTTCCCCAACAAACCAAACAGGCATGGATTGCCCAGTAGTACCTCCAACAGTATTATCATGGGTATTAAAAGTAAATAAAGCAATTCTTCATTAGTTTTCTGGGCATGAAGAACCCTTTGGATCACTTCTTAAAATACTTGATAAATTAAATAATTTAGAGAATGCCAAAAAGGTGCTTGAATTTATACTTGGTGAGACATGCTGTTCCAAGAAAGGATTATAGAAAAGTATCTTGCTTTCCAAATAAAGCTGAACAGTTCATGTGGGAGGCTACTTCCACCCCTGGCCTTGGATGATTGGCCCTGGTCAGTGAAGGATGTAGATCACACTCACCACTGGGCTCTGTGTGAGGAGCCCGGTTCTCAGTAAAGGGCCCATGACCTCTTCCCAATATAGAGTTAGTATTGAATGAAATGCAGAGAAAACCTGCTGAACTCTACCCAAATAGAGATCTACAGATTTGCCCCTTTCTCTTTCCATGAGGATAAAAAACCCACCAGACCCTTGATGTTGCCTAGCTCAAAGTTTTTATGGATGAAGCGATAATGCCTTGTTTTGACTAATTTTTACTTTTTTTGCAGCTGTTTTATGTTTACAAACTGGAATTTGGCTATTAAAATGTCTAAGAATGGAAACTGTTGTTTGTTTAGGATTTCATTTGTTATTATTTTCAAAATACTAGATTTCTAAATGTTTTGCTATTACAAGATATGATGAAGCTTGTTGTTTTGCTTTAAAATACAGTAGAAACATTTCCAGTTTTGCAATCTCAGAACTTGTTTTTTTTTTTTTTTCTTTTCTGAATTGGTGATATGAACAAGAGCAATTTCTAAGCATGTGCATTTTAAACTGTTCTTTTCTTACATGGTGAAGTAATTCAAGCTTTATAAGTTGTTTATGTACTTAATATACAAAATGTGTCTCTTCTGTTCAGGAACTAATACTTAAAAATTACTTCATGATTTTTTTCTTAATTAAGCACTCTTAAAGATAAAAAATTGCTGAAACTTGATATTTGCATAAGACTAATTATTTTACATGACTTCTAGTAAAATTACTTGTTCTGTATTAAGCTGTTTAACTTGCTGTGTTTGAATTTAAGTTCTCTTAAAAAGTTCATCTTAAATACTTTCACAGAATTACCGAGGTTTGTAATGATGTGTGAAGTTCTTAACTCACCCTGCATTAGATGCCTTCTCTGAGGGGCTGTCCCTGACCCTCAGAGCATTTCTGAGCTCTGCAGGGTGGGTTAAGAACCTGAACTGAATGGTATGTGATCGTGGAGCTCTTTGTTGAAGTGCCTTTTTTATTCTGGTGTTCTAGAATCAACATACCATTCTCTTAAAAGTGTTTAAATTCTGGTGTTTTTAAAGCTATAAGAAAAAACTCATGACTGGGCTTGTGATGTTAATATTGCCCCCCTACTGGGGTTATTTGTCCTTGGGTTGAAGGGTTGGAAATCGTGCCAAATGGGATAACATTGCCGGTGGACTTCCAGGGGAGGAGTACGGGGGAGGCCTTCGTGCAGTTTGCTTCACAGGAAATAGCTGAAAAGGCTCTAAAGAAACACAAGGAAAGAATAGGGCACAGGTGGGGATGGATGGTTGGTTGGCTCTGTCACTTTTCTTATGGTAAACAATTAAATCCATATTCTCTCTTCTGAAAGCGTTAACACCCAAATCAAAATAGTAATTGTGGTCTCTAACTTGGTGATGAGTAAAGGTATTGATTGCTGCAGTGTGTGTGGCACAGACTGTTTAGATCTACCCAAAAATACAAGATAAAATTGGGCTAAACTAAAATGTGCTTTGGAAAATTGAGTAATAACTGGCATTCAAAACTATAGCTTGGAAATGACAAAGTTGAGAGACTATGGCTTTAACTTCTCAAATAGCACCAATTCTGCCTTTAGCTCTAAAGACATGCACAGTATTCTTACTACCATAAGAAAATGTGATACTTTCTAAACTTGTTTTATAAGTTGAAATGTAACAAATTTACTTACTTGTATTAATCTTCAATGTAATAAGCATAGCTTTCAAGAAATTGTCACAAAGGGTTTTTATTCAATTTTACTTGTGACTATTTATCATTGAAGCATGCACCTTTTGCCTACGCTGAATCACTGAAGCATAGGCTGGGTTCAGTAGTACATGCAGAGCTTTTTGTGGCATCCTGATGGGTTAAACTCTTGGTGGAGATCAGGTTTTTAACCCTCTGTTTCTGTTGCCTTGAGCAACAGTGCTGAGTTGAGTGGACATTGGTCCCTCCTACATTGTTTGACTAACATTTTAAATTGGGGGGAGGTGGGTGGGGAATCAGTATTGCTCCCCCACCCTTAAGGCTGGGATACTGCAAAGTATGAGGAGCGCATAAACCCTTCAGTAATTTTAATTTCTTGAAAATACACTGATTTAAATGTAATGTAGCGCTAATAATAGAAAGTCATTGCCTACATAACGTAAAGAAATCTGGCTTAAAATTAACTGCCAGTGTCAAGGCTATGACTAAATGGCTTGTTGTAATGTGAAGTTGTGAGGTGTTAGTGGAAGGAATCAAAGACTGACTTGTCCCTGTGCAAACGCTCGTAGGTACATTGAGATCTTCAAGAGCAGCCGAGCAGAGGTGCGCACTCACTACGACCCTCCCCGCAAGCTGCTGGCCATGCAGAGACCGGGTCCGTACGACAGGCCCGGCCTGACGCGCGGGTACAACAGTCTGGGTAGAGGAAGTAGCTTGGAGAGAATGAGGCGTGGAGCCTACGGAGGAGGTAAGTGCCCGGGGGCCCAGGGAGCTGCTCCTTGAAAAGCAGCAACTCTTGGACCTGGTAGTGTCTCCCCAGCTGTGTATGTGTCCTTGGCCTTAATTCTTGTAGAAGAAATGAAATGTTGTAGTAGTCGTTGCTTGCAGTGTGTACTGTGTATTTGGATCTTTCTGTAGTCGAAATGAAAGTTTATTTGAAACTTTGTGTAGTTGAAATGAACATGTCCAATCTGTTTCTAGGTTATGGAGGTTATGATGACTACAATGGGTATAATGATGGCTATGGGTTTGGTTCTGATAGATTTGGAAGAGGTAAGGATCTCTAATAGGAACAGTAACTGAACTTACGACATGTCCCAAAAGAAACTAAAATACATCTGAAAGACCTAGAATGGACTCTTTTCTCCGCAGGGATGTCGGACCACAGGTACGGCGACGGATCGTCCACCTTCCAGAGCACAACCGGCCACTGCGTCCACATGCGAGGTCTGCCCTACAGAGCCACGGAGAACGACATCTACAACGTGAGTGCCACACACGCTGCTCCCTTGTGCATGGCTCTGGGTCCCGGGCTCCTTGTGGGGACAGAGCAGCTGCCCTGCAGCTGCAGTGTTCCTCTGGAGAAAATGGCTTGTTGTAAACCCAAACTGTTGCATTGGTGCGTTTTAATCTGTGTGACTGTTCCGTGTGTAGTTCTTCTCACCTCTGAACCCTGTAAGAGTACACATTGAAATCGGACCAGATGGCAGAGTAACCGGAGAGGCAGACGTTGAATTTGCTACTCACGAGGACGCAGTGGCTGCCATGTCCAAAGACAAAGCAAATATGCGTAAGTCTGACTGCTCGAGAGAGGTGGCTTTGGGGAGCTGCCAGCACTGGAGGGGGTGTAGTGCATCTGCTGCAATTGGAATGCCAAAGATATCACTGCAGCTTCACTTGCAGTGAGACAAGCTGCATGGGTTTGGTGTGATATGCTCTCATGGGAGAACTTTATTCTTGCAGAACACAGATATGTAGAGCTCTTCCTGAATTCTACAGCAGGAGGAACTGGTGGTGCCTATGGCAGTCAGATGATGGGAGCAATGGGTATGTAACTGTCTCACTGCACTTGGAAGCTGGCTCGTTCTGTACAGCTCCTGCTTTATTGTGTGCCTGGCATCAAAACTGAAATTCAACATTCTGTCTTAATCACACAGTCAAGGAGTCGGAAGGGGTAGTCCAAGATTGGAACACTAGCACATTGCCAGGTATATAATCCTTTTGGGAATACATTTGAGCTTTAATAGGTTGAATAAACTTGTGGTGCTGAGTGTGGTGTGCTTGTGGTGGGATGAGTGGCTTTGGGAGTGTGGTAGTGCAAAATTGGGGAGATACCTGTCCTTCTTATTCTCCTTCCCCTTCCCTATTGGGGGATACCAGAACATGGTGCGGTGATGGAGGATGTATCTGTGGCATGTGACCTGCCATTCAAGCTGAGTCTTGGTGGTGAGAGAGAGATATTTGGAATTGGGAGAAATTGTCTGAATTGCTCTGGCAAACTCCCAAATTGTTTAAAAATTTAAAATGTGTGTTTGCAGCACAAGTCTTAAATGCCTGTTGCTGTTATGCCTCTAAGACAGATACCCTCCTGACACCCAGCTGGGCTGGTTACGGAGATGAAGGTGGGGTTGGTTTCTGGGGGGCTCCGTTCTCTCGAGGGTGCTGGGGTGGGGGGATGTGGATGCACTGCTGCTTTTGTAGTATTTGTTTACAAAATGTTTATAGTTCTAATGCTGATGTTTAAACTACAGAAAGGGGTGTTAGGCAAGTGATGAGGTTAAGAGCAGTTTGTTTAAACAGAGGTATCTGTGTATGAGCCACACGACTGCTGTGATGTGATGCACAATCAGTCTGGGGCAGGAATAAGTCTGTCAGGACCACGTACACATGAGTGACTCCACTTAATGAACTTCTGTGGTTCTGGAAGGCCAGCACTCAGTGTGAGGTCCCTTATAGCCAAGCTTAAGTTTTTTGGGGTGTGTTACAGTGCAGATTGATCCTGTTTAGTATAGTCCACAGAAATTGTAAAAGTAACTTCTAAAGTTCTTGTTGCTGCTTGATTGCAGGGATGTCTTTAGAAACCCCATCACTTTCCTTGAGCATGTTAAACTTCCCTTGGTGTGAGCAAGGTAGTGCCAGAGTGCAGGGGCTGTTGGTTGGGTGAGGGCTGGGTTTGTTGATGATGAGCAGATCTTGACCGGCAAGTTCTTAATGTTTTTACCCTTAACTTAAAGGGAGCCAATCCAGTTATGGTGCTCCAGGCAACCAGCAGCTGAGTGGGGGCTATGGAGGAGGATATGGAGGTCAAAGCAGCATGAGTGGCTATGGTAAGAGCATTTCTTTGCTGGTTTCCATTGGGCCACGTGCAGCTGGCTTAACATGCCCTTCACTGGTGTTAAAGGGTTATGTTATAGCCTGGGCAGCACAGGCTCTGAAAGTTAAAGGTGTGGCTACTGTGAATTTTGGGGAATGGGGGGATCGATTCAAAGCTGCAATGGGGACCTGTGGGGGGGAATTGTGGAAAACTATTCTGGAAGGGGCAGGAAATGCCAGTCTCAGACTTGCATTGCTCTGATCACTTTTCTTAACCCAAAAGCTGGAGACCAGCTTTGTTTAAACAGAGTACAAATGGGGGAGGGGGTCATGGGAGGCTGGGTCCTCCCTATTCCCCCAGAGCAGTGGTAAAGCTCTGGCTTGGGAAGGGGGTGATGCAGAGCTCGTGCTGTCGTTGAACATCCGGTAACTGGCTTTGGGTACGGAGCTGTAAACTGACACTTTGCAGCGTTGGGCACGGTAGACGGTATTTACGAGGTGGCCCAGCAAGGACAGGCGTTGGGGCAAGGATGCTTCGAGTCGGCCTGAGGCAGCTGTGAACCTGCTGTCGGTTTCCCCCTCAGACCCCGGGAGCCAGGGCGCCATGAACAGCAGCTACTACAGCAGTGGGAACCGCGCATCCATGGGAGTGAACGGCATGGGCGGCATGTCCAACATGTCCAACATGAGTGGTGGCTGGGGAATGTAACCAATCGCTGACTTTTGGTCACATCTTTTTTAAAAAACAAAAAAACAAAAAACTAAGTTTAACAGTTTTGCAATACGAGCTTGTGATTTATGCTTTACTGTAAGTGAATTCAGGATTGTTTTAAAACCTTTCAGGTTCAGTATTTTTGAACATACAGAAATGAACTTTCATCTAGGATGTAATAACCAAGTAAAGACTATAACTGTTAAACAATTTGGAGCGTTTCTCAAGTTAGTTTTGTTGTAGGAGTGTATTTAAGCAGTAAGCGTATTTAGGTTAAAGCTGTTTGAATTATGTTAAATGTTGCTCTTATACCATATTACATCCAACACTGTTTTGAATACATGTTGAAAGAGACATGCTTTTTTGTAAAGAACCAATATAGGAGCTGTGTCTGAAAATCAAAGTGAACATTTGGCATGTTAGTTCTAGTTTCTTTCTTTTAATATCCTGTAAGGCATGTTAAAGCTTTTTTTTTTTTTAAGTTAATGGGGGAAACATGTTGAGACGCAATACGGCTACTTTAGGATTTTGGTCTTGGTGTTCGTATAAAATTCTGAGGCCTTGATTTAATCTTTCATTGTATTGTGATTTCCTTTTTAGGTGTATTGCGCTAAGTGAAACTTGTTAAATAAATCTTCCTTTTAAAAACTGGAACTCACTCCTTCTTGACCTCCAGCTTCTTGTAACCACACTTGCACCCATGTCCTCTGACCGTTGTGCCCTTGCCCTGCAGCTGCCACACATGACTCAGTGACCCATAAACTGTAACAGTGACAACTGGGGGGGAGCAGAGGCAACCCCCCTGCTGCTGGGGGTGCCCAGTGGGTGTTGGTTCAAAGCACTGTGTGGCTGGGCCCTAAAACCGCTGGGGGGAATGAGGGTTGATTCTGTACTTTCCTGTAGGCATCCGTGGACTGGGCAGCTTACTGCAACCATGCTTCAATAAATGTAACTTGTCAAATATCCTGCTTAAAGATGTGATTTTGTAAGCAACATTGTTACAACTTTTTGAGCACTGCAACTTCCCCTGAACTAATACAAAATCTGCTTCCATGCAGTCAGTGGCCATAGTATTTTGGTTACCCATGATAAGGAACTGTTTGTCCTGAAGGGTTAAGAACCTGAGGTCCTTTCTACAGAGATAAAAGTGTCCTCCTCTTTTGTAGCAGAGGAGCTGTAAGGGTGGAATTCTGAGCACTGGGCATTTTGGCCATGGCTGTCTGCCATGAAAACAACCTGCTTCCTGAGGGGATTGCTGACTGAGCCCAGCTCAGGGGGCACGTGGCTGAGCTGGGGCAGAGTGGGGATCACCCCTGGGTATGCACTGTTCCACATGGAGCCTCTGCAAGAAGCTCACTTGGTTAAAGAGCTGCTCTGGCACCTGGGGCACACACGGGGGCTGTTGGGTGCTGCCTGGGGACAGGGCTGCCTTCACTGTGCTGCTGGTGTGGTGACAGTGCTGGCACTGGCACAGGAGCACAGACTGCTTTGGGATCCCTGGTACAGCCAAGCCCAGGCCTGGCAGAAGTGGGACCAGGGCCCACTCCCCTCTGCCCCAGGGCTGGACACAGTGAGCCACTGGAGCCACTGCCCTTTTTTTCCTGGAAGAGGGTGAGAGCAGTTCCAGCTGCAGAGCAGTGGCTTCATCCAGCACCTTCCAGGGAATACCACAGCGTTGGTCAGGTATCCCAAACACAATCTGCTACTTTCAGCTTAAACCCTGGATATGCATGACTGAAAAACATTCTTTTCCAGGATCTATGACTTGACAGATGTTAAAAATTAGAACTTCACTTGCTTTCAGTTTTTGCAAAAGACTTTATTGTGTAACTACTGCACGGTGGTCACAGCGACTTCCAGAACAAGTATAATGTGCAGTTTTTGATTCTGCAGTGAACTGAAGGCACATTCATTGACACTCCTTATAAAGCTTTCTATAGACAATTCATAAATTGACCTTTTCCTCTCTGAATGACTTAGAGCAAATACAAAACTGTACATGAGCCAGGGGAACACATGGAACACCTACAGTGAAGGTAAAGAAATTAAGTTCATGTACACAGAGACAATGATGTCTACAGGGATCAAATAAATGTATAAATGCCATATACAAATTTTAATACAAATATCTATAAAAATCAGAAAAATGAATCTTAGTTTCAAATAGAACTTTTGGGGAAATTACAGTTGATATAAGCTCCTTAATTATTTCAGTTGGAGAAGCATTAGTTTGCACAATCCCTACAAATTAATTTACACTGCCTTTACAGTGGAAATAATCAGACCAGCCAGTCCAGTCTGCTGCACAGAAGACACCTGCAATTGAGAATTAAAAAAATAATGGCTACTTTCCAATGTTAAAGTGGCTCTGTCGAGGGTGGGAGAGCCTTAGGAGGAGTTAGAGGAGCACTGCTGGAGCAGCAATGTGTGACAATTGTCACAGACACGGACGGGTTTGGGGTAGGATGGCAGCGCGAGTTCGTTACTGGAACAAGTGTTGCAGAAGATGTCCCCGCAGTTTCTGCAGTGGTGCTACAAAAAAGAGTCAGAGTGAGCACAGCTGCCTACAAACAGCATCAGGAAGAGAGAAGTCAGACCTTGGGAACTGTGTTGGACTCCACTGAGTCCCTCTACTTCCCACCAAGCCCAGCCCTCCCAGCAGCACTTCCCCCTGCGCAGGGCCGAGCACAGCGCCCGGCTCGGGGACAGCCAGGAACGGGAACAGGAGCCGGAGCGGGTTCGGGCCTGGCCGCGGAGGGAGGGGCTGCGCTGCCTGCCCGCGCCTGCCGGGACCCCACGCTGTCCCACACCGCGGGCCGGGCACCGAGCAGCGCCTGCTCAGCCGCAAAGGGAGCCTGAACGCAGCCACAGCAGCTCTCCACTGAGAGCACCGGAGCAGGGGGCAGTATTACTTTTGGGGTGGTAAATGCCAAATTATTCCCTATATGTTTATCATGCCAACAAGATTTGGAATTGAACAGGTTCAGTCTTTCCTAGCAAGGTATGCAACAGCACCGCTTTTGTTTTCCATGGATTATTTAAAAATGATCTGCTGAACCACATTACCTTCCTTCTTGAGATGGAGAACTCCTTTTTACATTGCTTGCAGTGAGTTGCTTCATCATCCTTCAGCCACGTGTGACCCTGGAAAATTGGTATGAAAACCACGCTGGAGATAAAAATAAACCTAGAGGCATTTTAGCAACATTGTTGGTATTTTTCAAAAGCCACCTTTTAAAGCAGAATAACCACGGTGAAATTTGAAGGTGTTAAATGAAATTCTTATGCTTAGTCAAAATATCTACGAGAGAGTACCTTTAGTGCTTTATTTACTTCTTTAATGTCTTCCATCTTCAGCTTTGATCTGGAAAAAAGAAATTATGCCCTGCATGACTTTTTATTTAGCTGTGTTTGGTTTTCCCTGCCATTCCACTGTCGAGCCACTGAAACCAAACCCCAATTCTTCAGTCAGCTCCCTGTTACCCATCTGAACCACTCACTATCACTGGGAAACTCTGTCAGCTCAGGATTTGCCCCTTTTTCAGTATAAACAGAAGAATGTAGGAAAAGCACAGTTCCATATAGGAATGAAACATTTCCTTTAATATTTCCTCTCAGCCAGCTCACTCTGACAAGATCCTCTCTCACTTTTATTTCATGGCTCTTTAGTTTCTCATACATAGTAATTGCCTACTAAAATTCTAACATCAATTGATTTTCATAAGTAGAAGAGGTCTAAAATTCCTGGTATTAGTCTGATGTTCCAGCTTACATCACTTACAGGAGTTCTGTTCCCTAGAACTTACTGGCTGAGATGAAGTCCCATTTCTTGAAGAGCTTGCTCCTGCTCCTCACGGACCTTCTTCAGCTGCTGCTTCTCATCTTGCAGTTTTCTCAGCTCCTATAAAATCAAGCACAAAATCAAATTTTTTGTGCACTGCTTGACCTAAACCTCGATCAGTCTACCCAAACTACCCAAGCAGTTCACAAGAATCGGCTCCTGTGTAAATCCCCCTATTTCTAAGGCTTGATTTTTAAAATTACAAGGGAGAACTACTCACAGGTTCTGCACAAACAATGGAATCATTTAACCATATTTACCAAGAAAAGGAAGATTTTCAGGCTTTGACCATCCTTAAACATAGCTGGAAAATGGCAGTCCTGTGCCAACACAGGAGCACACAGACAGGCACAGGTGCACAACTGTGTCCTCAGAAACTACTTCATACGTGTCAGCAAATCCTCTTCAGATTAAAAAGAATGTTCATGCTTAAAAAATAACTCACATTCAGTTGTTCTGAATGCTTGAAACTGTGCATACCTTTTTCAGTCCTTCCATCTGTTGCAATTCTGTTTTAAGCAGAGTGGTAGCATCCTTCTCTTGGTGCAGTTCTTTTTGCAAAGTTTGTCTCTGTTCCTTTTCGGATTTTAACTCCTTTTCCAGAGTTGAGCTATTTAAAAATAATTCATTCTAAAAAAACCCTGTAGCAGAAGAATATCCTATAGCACTTAAGGATAGCAACAGTGTGAGAAGTAGAAATCTTGTCCAAAAGAGGGCAAAACTAGAGTAGTGTTCTGGGAAAGGAAAGAACAGGCAGCAGACGTCAAAAATGTTAACACTGTTAACATTTAACATATGTTAACATTTCCAAGTCACAGAAAACAAACAGCAATGAAGGGCTAGAAGAAAAACAACCAACCAAAAGACCCCCAAAGAAACCAATCCCCACAAGTTAATATTTCACCACCTATGTTTAAACTGTTGTGTTTAAAAGGGACACTCTATCCTGCAGTCTGAACAGTGAAAGAAGATTTTTCTATTGGCCTTAGAAATCTTTAGAGGATTAACATTCCCTAAGAAAACACCCATAAGTCCCTTCAAAAATCCCAGTCCCTTTGGATGACAGTCAGTTCTATGCTCAGCCTACAAGCATGACCATACCTATCTCCTGATTTATTAAAAAAGCAATTGAAAGCTCCATTGCTAGTTGGAATGGGCAGATTTTTTTTGCTGCTACTCTGTGCTCTAAATTAGATGTTCTGGAAAAAACATGTCAAAATCCTGATGCTAACTGCACACTGCACAAAAGTGCTGTGCTTCCCTGGCTCCTGTCTGTCAATGTTGAAGCCAACAGAATTTCAAACTCCACCCCTTGTTAGACCTGAGCATAAAAGGAATAGAAAACACTTCTTAAAGAAACAGCAAAGGGAAGGAAAACACCTGCTCAGATTAAATACCATTTGCTGTCCAGCTGGGCCATCTGCTGCCGACATGAGTTGAGCTTCCCAGCCAGCTCCTGCTTCATCTTATTGCACCGTTCCTCTGCTGCCTGCCTGGCCTTCTCTGCCTCCTGCAGCCTGCACAGGAAGGAACACAGACATTTGTTTTCAATTCACTCCTTCTCTGCACCCTCTTCCCCCTCTTCTTTTAGAGTTACCACAGGGATCTTTATAAAAGCTTGAACTGAAAATGCTAGAGGAGGAAAAAAAGACTTTTGAAAGCAGTTGTTTCTGAAAAAAACCCAAAAGCAAAGTCACACCTGTTCTTAAAGTGAAGTTAACATGCTTTTCAACAGCCTGTTATGGAAAGAGCTATGGTTTTCCAGTGGGTCAGTTATGGACATGTTTGCCTGGGAAGAGAGAACGGCAAGCAC